CTTGAGTTTATCAATAACACAAACGATAAAACAAAAGAGGAAGCGCATCTCTAAAATTTTGTCAAACCTATGGAAAGAAACGAAGAACCCTAATTAGAGAAAAGCAACCAAGGAAATATGTACGATGTATGTACCATAAAATTTAGAAAATGACATCTCTTAAATTTAGAAAGTGACAAATTTTCGTCAAACATACAAATGTACCATAAAACGAAGAACCCTAATTAGTAAAAGTGACATATTTGTATTTGTATGTAGAAAGTGTTTTGTGACATGTGTGTGATTGCAAACTAGTTCTATGTTTTCCCATAAAATTTTGTGATTTCTCAATGTATCGAAAAGCAACCAAGGTTTGTTCAAATATGGGAAGAATTTGTGATTTGCCTGACGATTTACTGGTCACGATTTTGTCATTCGTTCCAACAAAAGATGTTGTCGCTACGAATATTTTGTCAAAACGATGGCGACATGTTTGGAAACTGGCTCTAATTTGTGAGAACGATTGTGTAGAGCTGTGTGCTATATGTTCTCTGGATTGTTTCTCCTCTATACTATTACATACCCCTAAACTGCGAGTTTTGAGGTTCAAACAACAAGTTTGTTTCTCCTAATGATGTTGTTTTTTGTTTTTTTTATCAAAGCTCATGTTACTGCTTAATTTAATACTTACTAGTAGTAGTGCACTAAATCTTTTCTTTGGATCGATCTCAGAGATGTTGTTGCAACCTTTTAAGAGAACAGTGGAAGCAACCGAATTTTGTTCCTCTAAGTATGATTTGGAGTCTGAAAACTGTTGAGTGAATTGGTTATAAAGAAAGAAAAGAAACAGAGAGAAAAGCAGCGGTCCACATCTTACAGAATGCACGCAACCTAAAGAAGGTGGATATTACATCTTCAATGTCAAACACTTTTGAAGACAACCTCAACATTATTGTTGGCTTAGAATTGCTCAAAGAGAAGTCTATTGGATGTGACGTCACAGTCAAAACCATAATTTGAATTTGGAATTTTGTTTTCCCCCCTTAATTAAGCTGCCAAATTTGTTTCTTTGAGTCTGATGGCCAGAACCTTCCTTGCTTAACAATTCAACAGCAAATCCCATTGTTGTTGTTTATTAATCCTATTCTTGCCTTGATGTTTTCTTCTACTTTTTTTGGACTATTACTTTCCAGATTTTTCCCTTTCTGCAAAAGCGATCCATGGTACCTACGAGCTTGTCTGCCATTGGATCCAATAACCATGGCACAACAGAAGAAACGAAACAAAAAGTAAAGCTGTGTCGATTCAAGCTTTCAAGTTTATAAAACCTGGACAAGAACGTAATAAATCTCACAAAACCGGCTCTTCTGATTGAAACCAATAAGGTTAGTCGTCCGCACGAGAACATCTGGTCACCATCTTGAGTAAGGTCATTTTCTGTTATCTTTTGGAGGTTTAATTCAAATCCTTCAAGCACGGTCCAGTTTACACAAAACCAGGCAAAATCGAGTTTATGAACTAAAAACTGGATAATTGCTTTCATGTGTCTTTTGTTGGTACCCTTTCAAATTCCTCTAAATTTTTCAGTCACTCATGGAAACAGAAAGGAAAAAGGGAAAGATAGTTTTGGATTCGTGTCTGTGTTGGTTTATCGATGAATCTTTGGTTAATGTCGTAACTATTAAACACAATACCAGATGCAGCTATCAGAGCATCTTCTCCAAGGAATTGTGGCGAATCAGTTTTGGTAAAGTTTTGCTGACATATAACTTTTCAGTTTGATTTTTTTGTTCCTTACTATTCATGGTAAAAGATCAACTTGTTCTTACTAATACATTTCAGTGTAACGGAGTTTTACTAGGGATCGGTTGTATCGTATTTCATTACCAACCACCATTGGCATGGAAGGTATTCCACTAAGCTCTAGAGAGGCAGCTGTCGTCTTCAATGATTGAGAAACAAGGTACAATGTTATTAGTAAGAACAACTTCTGCTTCTATATCCTTTACTTTTCCTGTATTTGTCTTTCTCCTGCCAAAAACCAAGTCCAGCCTTCAAACAAAACATATCTTTTAGTTTTTCTTTATCTTATAGCTTGTAAACTATGATGAATAGGGTGGGAGTTGAACATAGATGAGTTTCTCTAATAGGTTTTTCCTGTTTAGTGGAAGATATTACCAAACACTCAAGAAAGCTGTGGCTTATTTCTATAATATATCAAGTGGACTTGGTCAAGTCTTTTACTGTAATCCGAGTTGTGTGTTTCTTGGCTATCATGCCATGTCATTGATATATATGATAATGATTTTGCCAATCGATACGGAGGCAGGGGTGACAGGTGCTGATGTGGAAATCGTAGCTGGTTGCAGAAGTATATCATTCTCACGATGAACAAATGTGAATCACCACGTAAAGAACTCATGCAGGAGGGTAAGAACGTGCTGAAAAGAAGGAGTGATTCTGTTATGAAGATAGCTATTCATTTGAGTGATTCCACTTTCTACCTAAAGTAAACTCATGGACCATACGCACTTGGTACTTTTTCCACAGATGATTTCAATATTTTGTTGCTCGGTTTAATTGTTAGTGTTACATTCAAGAAAATCTTGTCCTTAATTTATGAATCTGGTTTTGTTAACTTGACGAGTTTATGGACCTGGCTAGACATGTAAGCATCACAAGTACTTTTGTCCTATGTTTCATCTTTGTTTTGGATGACAGTGAGTGGTTTATCCAACAAAATTATGAGATTTTGCTGGAGAAGGTTGGTACTTTCAACTTAGTAAGAGATAAGATGATATACATGCAATGGTAAACATTTTAGTTACTTTGCTTCTGTCCATTTCTTTGTGTTTTCCATTTACAAATTGTGTGGCATTAAGTTAAAAAGCATATAATCATGGAATTTCCAGGGTTTCACCTATCCCTATTTCTGTATTGTCGGGAACGGGAACTGGAACAGGAGAGCTGTTTGATCTTGTTTTGTACTGGGCTATATAAGCTTGAGGTTTGTATAGACGTTTCTTTCTTTCAAAATGTTCTGGTGCAAGAATATGAAAAATCAGAAAATAGTTAATTTTTTATATCTCTAGACTTTATATGGACATATTCTGCCTCACTTTATACTGCTACTGAAATGTTTCGAAGGTTAGGCCTTATCTAAATTACAGACCCTTAAAATGCTTTACCTATTCGTCAAAGACCTTTACGCAATTGTGAACATACTCAACTGGCACAGATATCAAAACCTTGTCTCGATCTGTTGCATCATATGATCCAATGTTTTTTCTAGATCATTGAAGAGGAAGAAGAAAACTACATTTGTTGGTCGGACAAATGTTGGCAAAAGGAGCATATTGAATGCACTTGTCCGATTGGATATAAAAATTGTTATTTCTTCTAGTGCCACTAACTATGATGCTATAGTTGCAAAGTTTACTAGGCCAGATGGGGAGAATGTTCACAAAC